TTGCTGTTTGGTTGTTGTTGAAATGGTTTTGTGAGCTTTAATCTGAGAATCTGGCGTTTCTGGCAAAACACAGTTATATTTAAAAGTCGATTCAGGATTTAATGAATTGATATCGCTTTATTCAAGCTACTCACCTCCCACTTCCACCTGCACTTTCAACAGGACCACGGCCAATCAGAGAGGTCCCGCCCCTTACTATCTCTGATTGGTTTAGTCCACGATAGGGGCATAATGTGTGTCTGTTGTTGACCACAGGGAAGGTTGCAGATTTTTTTTTTTTTTGCTACCCGAACATTTGGTCGCACAGGTGCAACCAAATATTTTTATTTAGTCACACCACTGAAAAATTTGGTCACATTTGCGACCAAATTGGTCGCACTCTAGAGCCCTGTAATGTTGTTCATGAGACTAAAGTCATATCACTTTGGTAATGTAAATATAATATGGCCAATATTATAGTTATTATATTAATCATTATTAGTTATTACAGAAGTGAACATGAACTCTGTGTCAAATACTGAGCTTCAGTAAAGATTCAAGTTGCAGTTATTTATATTTCTTATCACCTTAAATCTTCACTCAAAGACAAGTATCTGTGACAGTGTATATATAGATGTATTATACATAAGAGACAAATATTGTTCTTTTAATATGTTGGCATTACTAAATTTGGCTCAATGCTTACATGCATGTGTAAAAAGGAAAATGTACGAGCTGTGATAACTGTGTCTGATAGAATGAAGAGTAGACTGATATATGAAATATTCATTAATTTGGTGAGAAAATCAGACCATGTCATAACTGCTTTAAGTCTTACAGAATAGATATCAGAGCCTTAAACAGGCTGACTTCTGCTAAATGGGTCAAACTGGGCAGAAAGTCTACAAACACATAACATCCTTATACACAGCAAAATCTCCAGTGTTAAATTAACACTAGAGAGTGTCTATATGGGTCCACTCCTCTGAGTGTTAAATACAACACTGTTGAGTGTTAAATTAACACTTTTCAAAGTGTTTAAATGTTTAAAAGTAAGCTAGTCATTTTTTAAGATTAACAAAGACTAACACTGAGCAGTGCTGATTTTCTAACACTGGAATATTTCTAACATTTTGAGTTATTTTCCAGTGTTAGAAAATCAGCACTGCTCAGTGTTAGTCTTTGTTAATCTTCAAAACTGACTAGCTTACTTTTAAACATATACAGTGGACACATGTGTGACTCCTGTGATTAAAGCATCTTTCTTTCAGCTTAACGAGTGAACCGTCAGCTCGTTCAAACACACGTTAAAGTCTGTTTGGCTCGACACCACCGAACAGAGGCAGCAATATAACATAGCTCACATTAACAGTGCAGTGAATCCTGCTTGTGCCGTGATATTCAGGACTGCAAACCGAGCAGCATCACTGACTTTCAGCTTGTTGTGTTTGTGGATATATGACTGACTTTAATTATCCATAAATCATCACATTCTCTGTAAGATTAAGGTCGACTATTGAACAGCGCATATTTTAAAGTAAAGGCTTTAAAACCAAGTTAGTACAAACATCGCTAATGGCACATAACTTTGCCAACATGTGGCCAACAGTAATGTTTTAATGTTCTTCATTATTAAACATTTGCACATAAATAAGTGACATAATATTCAGTACTTACTTTTGAAATTTTACTCTTCGGCCACCCCGCTTCAACTGTTTTTTTTGGCAAAATTATCCACACCCACCACCGCACTATGAAGTCTGGGATATGTTGGGCCATGAAGGCTACACCGACCCATCCTTAAAATTCAGGGAAATGAAGGATGCGTTTGAGGGCCGCATTTCAAGCAGCCTTTGGTACCTAGTAACTACACAAGCCAGGAAGTACCTGGCTTGGGGCCAGGTACTTCTTGGGGCCAGGTGCTTGGGGCCAGGTGCTACGGTGGCTAGGGGCCACCGTAGCACCTGATGATGAAACGTTTCTCATCTGAAAACGTCCAGATGAACAGAATCAACTTTCTTTACCTGGACGATTCAGCATACACGTGAAGATATTTTAACTCAGAAATGTTTACTCAAATTAACAAAGGAGACAGTAAAACCTGAAAGTCCAAGAGTGAAAATAAACATTTTTCCCACTGTTGGATTCACATGTTTATTCAAACAGTCAGTCAGTCAGACTAAAAACTTCATTTGACTTTTATTGTGAAAGGGCTTCAACAAAAAGGAAGAACATGTTAAAACCAACAGTCTTTTCTGTGACCGCAAGCAGTGATGTGACCCGTTTAACTGAACCAGTGGTTTCCCATACACTCTCTGTTCCAGGGGACTCCACAGAGCCAGCACCACTCGGCCTTGCACAGCGGGCAGTGCATGTGCATGCAGCCGCCTGCAGGGGGAGACAGCGTGTCAGCCATTGTCACACGATCCCCGACATGTATGACACCAAAGCCGTCCCTTACCATTTCTCTCCACGGGAACCGAACACGTTGGGCAGGGCCGGGTCGACTCGGCGATGACGAGCAGAGACGCTGGCTCCCATCTCCCCATGAGTGACGCCTCCTCCCCGACCACGAAGCCCTGAGGAAGAAGAGGAGTCAGCTGATTGTTTTATCTTCGTCATCGTCCTACAACCTCTGTAACTGGCCAGCTCACCTGTGCTGCTTCCCCTGTGGGCGGGGCTGTCACTGCCTGACACAACCCCTCATGGTACTCTCCCCTGCAGAGTCTGCAGAAGACAAAGCCGCAGCCAAGCCGGCGGTCACACTCCACCTTCCTGCTGCCATCAGGTGGGAGAAGCCCCGCCCCACAGCCAGGTGATGGACACATCATTCCTCCAGTGGTGAGCAGACACTCCTCAGCGCCATACTGCAGGTAGCGCCCATACTGAGAGGACACAGCAAAGGTGACTGAGGGTGCAGGTGGTTCAGCTGACTCACCTGGAGCATGCTCACTGGATGAATTTTGGTTTTCTTGCGTTATCGTTGCCATGGTAACCCCTTTCTGCTCACAGTAATTGGCTAGGATTGAGGCAGAGGCCTCTCATTGGCTCTTACTGGTTCCCATTTGCTTACAAAAATCTTCTTCAGGGATTTCATATTTGAGAGTCTGTCTGCCACGTTCACTCATTTATTTATTTATTTGTTTTTATTTTTTGATCATTTTTTGTTGGCCGAGTGTTGACAGACTTCACAATGTTTCACTCACAGTAAGTGTGAGAGTATTTGTATAATTATCTTTGTGATGCAGTACTGCGTGTACCTGCTCGTCTCCCAGGATCCTGAAATGATGAACTTCTTTAATCAGAGAGTCGTCGCAGCCGACTGAAACATTAACACATGAAACATGTTTACACGCGTGTGCACACTCACACATGTCTGATAATGTCACATGCTCCTGTCTGCAGTTAATGAACAATGATCACTGAAAATGAATTCAGATTCTTGGGCAGTCTTGTCCTGACATATTTCTACAAAGAGTGAAGGTTGCATTGACCACACCCCTTGTCCCCACCTGCACACGGCAGCGAGTAGCCAATCACAGGATGGTACACAAACTGCCGGTCATTCAGGCGCGTCTGGCAATAACGCTGGAAACAGTCGAGACAGATCACATGACGCTCCGAGCACTGGAAGACCAGGACCACGCCCCTGAGAGGCAGAAGGGGTGGGATTACACCTGGCTGATGGGTGATGGGTGGTGTGTGTGTGTGTGTCCATGTGTGTGTGTGTGTGCGCCGTACATGACATCGGTGCAGGCGATGCAGGGCACGCCTCTGGTGTTGGTCATGATGAGGTCGAGGGCCACGGAAAGGTCATCATCTGACGTCGGGTGAGACGCACACTTCATGTAAAACTCCTGAAGACAGACACACACACTCCACCTGGCTTAATCAATGACATTATCTGTGATGGCTCATGTGACAATCAAAAGTTCCCGGAAAAACTGAAGTGAGGCGGGGCGCTGTTAGACACCATGGTGTGAAGCAGATGGCCCTGCCCCTCTTTGAGCCTGGTTCTGCCGGAGGTTTCCTCCTGTTAAAAAGGAGTTTGTCCTTCCCACTGTCGTCAAAGTGCTTGCTCATAGGGGGTCATATGATTGTTGGGTTTTTCTCTGTATCTATGAAGCGCCTTGAGGCGACTTTTGTTGTGATTTGGCGCTATATAAATAAATTGAATTGAATTTAATTGAATCTAACCCTAGGGAGTTTATTTCCCATCTCCTGCAAGATCTTCTGAAACTGAATGAAGCACCTCTGTTGGATCGGGTTCACAGATCCCTTGGACCAAAGCCCAGAGATGGAGCACCTCCTTGCCCACCGCTCATTAGAGTCCACTACTTCCATGTCAAGGAACAGCTGCTACGTCTTGCAGGAGCAAACTCTCCTCTACTTTACCAGGGCAGAAGGATCTCCATTTTTCCAGACTTCACACCTGCAGTGGCTAAAAAACATTCGCAGTTTACTAGTTTGAAGCACCTTCTGCACTCTAGTCCTGGGATCAAGTTCGGCCTGTTCTATTCAGCGGAACTGAGGATGTCACTTCCAGATGGAGTTGTACGTAAGTTTATTGATCCTGCGTCTGCCACGGACTTTGCCAATAAGATCCTGGGGGGCCCTGCCTCTCAGGACACATAAGTGTCTTAGCCCGTTAGGCTGATATGTTCATCTTGGTTAACTTCTGTGAAATATTTTTTTTTTTTTTTTTTTTTTAGTAACATTTATTTGAGGTGAACTTGATTTATAGGATGTGTCTTGTTCTAATATATTTTTATACAATCCTTGATTTGTCTCTGCCTTGTATTGTAAGGAGTTTGAACTCAACTGGGACTTTGTGTCATGGTCCTGGGTCTTTTGACCCAGCGTTTTAAGTTTGAGTTTATTTTGTTCATTAGGTTATCTAAGTTCATTTGGTTATTAGACTCCTTGTGTTTTCTTCCCCTGTATTTACGCTTCCCCTCACCCTTTGTGTTTCATGCTGCGTGTCTTATGTTATCAAGTTTGTATTATTATGCCTAAGTGTTTCTAGTTATTATTTCCCCCTCGTGTTTCCAACTATGGTAAATCTCCCCTGCTCTTCATGTGTTTCATGTCTGTGTCTTACGTTAAGTTCTGGTTGTCATGTCTGCGTCTCATTATGTTTCCTATTTTATTTGGAAGAGATCCTGTGCTTTTATATTATGGGTTATGTTTTGAGTCCTTTGATATACTGTTTCTTGTTTCCCTAGATCTCAGTTATGGTTATCATAGGTTTAGTTCTTTGGCTTTGTTATATGGCTTCCCTGTGTTCCATGTTATGTCCACTGTGATGTTTTGTGCCATGTTTCAGGTTCCTATGTTCTGTCCCCCCAGTTGCTGTTAAGTTTGCGTGTTTTAGAATTCAGTCAGTGTGTTTCCTGTTTTACTTTGAAGGTCCATGTCTCATGTGAGTGTTTCTAGTTTTGCGTCCTTGCCTCGTCCTGCTTAATTACTCTCAGCTGTGCTCTCCTCCTGTGGCTCATTCCCCCTCGTTATCCCTCAGTATATTTAAGTCCTCTGTTTTCAGTGTGTGTTTGTCAGGTCGTCTGTTGTCCACGCCATGTTTCCTATGCCATGCTTCCAAGTTCCTTGTCTAGGTTTTTCTTATTGTTTGTTTAGATTTCCCAGTTTAGGTTTGTGTTAATTTTGCTTCAGTTTGCCTTGCCCTTTGTGTGTACCTTTTTTACCAGCCATATTAAACGGCTCGCTTTTTGTTAACATTCAAGTTTTGTTCCCTGTTCCTTGGAGTCTGCATTTTGGGTCCTTTTTCAATTCATACAGTCTGCCCTCGCCAGACTGTGACACTTTGGATGGTTGGGAAGAAGTGCTCAGGGGTGTATTTGGTGGGGGGTGCGCACATCTTGTTTGGGAAAATGCTTCAGCATTTAGGGGGAAGTTTGGGCGTTCTCTTTGTTTTTATGTTGTACTGTTCTGTACACTGACTTTGTTCTTTCTGTGCTTCTCACCGGTCAGCTTTTGTTTTTTTGTCTTTGTTCTAACGTGGTATCGCAACTAAATATTAATAACCAACAAGCAGGTCACTCGTTTACGTTCTGTAGCTGGAATTGTAAAGGTCTGAACCAGCCTATTAAAAGGAGTAAGGTCCTCCATCATTTGCAATTTTTGGTGCCCAGATTGTGTTTTTACAAGAAACACACCTAAAAATTTCAGATCATTTTAGACTTCGTAAGTGCTCCAAAAACGTTAGAGCACTTGTGCAAATATGTGATGTCTTGATGAATCGAGCAGATATTAGAAGTTTACACAGCACCATTCTCGCATGAAAATATCTTTAAAGTTTATTTTGTGACCCAGAAAGAGTAATATTTCAAACTCTGCCACTCTGTGTTCCTCCGCCACTGCCTCGTTTGAGGCAAAATAAATTTCACCTCAAAATGCAACACTTGCAACTGCAATTTTTTTTTACGTGCGCTCAAATTTTTTTTAAGTACACTCAGAATAGTGGCACAAAATAAAGCCACACACATCGAGCACATCTACTGCGGGTGTGGTGCCTGTTATCAGACCCAGAGTTTGCAACATCTCCCAAAAACCCGAAGATTAGAGCAGAAACGATAACGGATGATGATGGCAGCAGCAGCAGTTATTCTCTGCGTGAGTATCTTCATGTTGTTCGTGTGTCATTTACGTTGAGTAGGCTAACCATGTTATCACATTAATGCACGTAAGGTGAACTAGCAAACACCGTCGTAGTTACATGCGGCTGTCTTCTTGTTTGATAGCAGATGCTCCCTTCACCCTGGCCAAAAAGGCTAAAATGACCAAACAAAAAGTGGAAAACAGCTAAACATGAGAGGTTTTTGGACAAAGTTTGTTTTTTCCATTGTTTAAGCACTGCTTCCAGCCAAGAGTGATACCATAAATCCCCCATAGCTGCAGAAAAGGCTAACATTGTTATCTTTTTACAAAGAAACAGCTGAACATGAGAGGTTTTTGGACAAAGTTTGTGTTCTCCATTCTTTAAGCACCGGTTCGAGCACCGGTTCGAGCACCATTTAAGCACCGGCACCGTTTCAAAAGTACCGGTTTGGTACTGGTATTGGATAAAACCTAAACGATACCCATCCCTATAACGACAGGCTGTCCTTGCAGACTGAGTTTAATCACCTGTCCTCTGCTCGGGCTGAAGAGATGCTGTTGAAGTGTCAGCACTCCCAGTATGAGTATGGGGATAAGGCCAGTAAACTGCTTTCCTATCAGCTTCGTAGTGCAGCAGCTGCACATTCCATTCCTCGGATTCAGGCATCAAGCAGTGTTCCTATGGATCCTAAAATAATTAATAACCAATTTCGAGACTTTTATTCTCTTTATGCGTCTGAATCTGTATTTAGCACTGAATCTTTGGACTCCTTTTTCAATCATCTTAAACTCCCATCAATTGATCAAACACACAGTCTTCGGCTGGAGGGACCAATAACTGTAGAAGAGATCCTGAAAGCTATCAGCAAATTACAGTGTTCTAAGTGTCCCGGACAGGACGGGTCTCCCGTTGAGTTCTATCGTAAATTTATGCCTAGACTGGCCCCACTCATGGTAAATATGTATAAGCATTCACTTGAAGTTGGATCCCTCCCACCTTCTCTACTACAGGCATCTATACCCTTGATCTTAAAAAAGGATAATGATCCATTACAATGTGGCTCATACCGTCTCATTTCTTTGTTAAATGTGGACTATAAAATCCTTGCTAAACTTTTAGCGATGCGTGTGGATAATCATCTCCTGGTTGGAACTTCTTTATACTTCCCTGTTTGCCACTGTCAAAACAAATGGCACATATTCTGACTTTTTTACTCTGTTCAGAGGGACTAGGCAGGGCTGTCCCATGTCGCCATTGCTCTTTGCAATTGCAATGGAGCCCTTGGCCATATCGCTGAGATCTAACCCAGGTATCACCGGGGTTACTAGAAATGGTATGGAACAAAAGGTCTCCTTATATACAAATGATTTGCTTCTTTATGTCTCAAAACCAGCATCCTCATTTCCTTTGGTGCTCTCAATACTTGAACAGTTTAGCCTTATTTCTGGCTATAAGCTGAATCTCGGCAAGAGTGAACTGTTCCCTCTGAATGCTGCTGCACAGAAACATCAGTGCACAGCACTGCATTTTCGACTTGTATCGGACAACTGTACATATTTAGGGGTTAAAATTACAAGTCAATTTCATAATCTTTTCAAGCTTAATTTCAACCCACTTGTGGAGAAAGTTAGGCAGGATTTGGACAGATGGTCTCTTCTCCATCTGTCTGTGGCAGGGCGTATAAATGCGATTAAAATGAACAACCTTCCAAAATGTTCTTTTCTTTTTCAGTGTCCCTGTATTTATCCCAATTTCTATTTTTGTTAAATTAGACAAGATTCTCTCGGTTCATTTGGAACAAAAAAAAAAAACAAAACCCTAGAATACGCAAGACATATCTTCAAAGACCGAAAAAGATGGGGGGGTTGGCTTTACCAAACTTTATGTTCTATTATTGGGCATGTAATATTCGTATTCTCAGGTACTGGCTACAGGGGGAAGGTATGAATAATGCCCTGGCGTGGCTGAGCTTGGAGATTTCTTCCTGTGCCTCATCCTCTTTACCAGCCCTGATTTATGCCCAAAAGCAGCCTCCGAGTGCAGGTTTTTATAATAACACTATTGTCAAAGTTACCTTGAAAATATGGCATCAATTTCGTCGTTATTTTAAGCTGAACTTTTTTCCCTTGTGTCACCCATTTTGAAAAATCCCTCTTTTCAGCCTTCTTTAGTTGATGGCACTTTTTGTTTGTGGGCCTCCTTGGGTATCAGGTCTTTTTCTGATCTGTATATTCAGAATACATTTGCCTCTTTTAAACAGCTCTCATTGAAATTTGGCCTTCCAAAAAGTCACTTTTTTCGCTACTTACAAATCCGGAGTTTTGTTAAGGAGAAATCCTCTCAGTTCCCATCTAGACCTCCTTGTCATGACTTTGATAACCTTCTATTGCCTCCCCCTTCATCACAGGGCCTGATCTCTTGTCTGTATGGGAGAATATGTTCATTTGGCAACTCCTCAACCTCGGCTATTAAAATGGCATGGGAGCAGGATTTGGGATGTGTGATTCAGGATGTCTTTTGAGATAAAATTCTTTACCGGGTCCATGGCTCCTCATTATGTGCCAAACACAGGTTAATTCAATGTAAGATTTTACACCGCGTACACTGGACGAAAGCCAGACTAGCTCCAATATACCCCAACCTTAGCCCTGATTGCGACTGCTGTCATCAAACACCTGCCTCTTTAATACATATGTTTTGGTCATGTCCATCCCTCAAACAATACTGGATTAATATTTTTCTGACTCTATCAAAGATCATCCAGCTAACCCTCCAACCTGTGCCCTCAACCCCTTTGTTTGGGGTTCTTCCTGATACAGTTGTCTTGCCGATGCCCCAGGCGGATTTGGTAGCATTTCTCACCTTATTGGCAAGACGCAGAATATTGTTATGTTGGAAGTCCCCTTCTCCCCCATCCTGGGAAATCTGGATCAGAGATGCTTTGCATTTTAGCAAACTCGAAAAGATTAAATTCACTCTGCGTGGGTCTATGGTCAAATTTTTTAAGATCTGGCAACCCTTTTTTGATCATGTGCACACTTTCCAGTCCCGTAACACTCCCAGTTAGCCAGCTCAGACTTTATTCTATTTTATCTTATGCTTAACTATACAGACTCTATTGTGCCTGCACTTTATGATGGCATTTATTTATCTACTTTATACATATTTCTTTTTTCTTACGGATTTGACTTATTTCGACGACTAAGCTGACCACTCATTTTGTTTGTTCCGTTTTGTTTTTGGTTTGTGTAGGGGTGTGGGTTCTGAAACTCTGCATATCTCTCTTGTCCACTCAGGAACTGCTATCTTGTACTCCAGGGTTTACTATTTGTATTATTAGCTTGGATCCTTTTTTTTTTCCTTTTTGTACACCTACTGGTACTCTTGTAATTATGAGGTGGAATGTATGTTTCATATTGTTTTACGTTCTTCAAAAAGAAAACGGCATATTGTTCAATTTGTCTTTTGTAAAATGGATGCAGAAAATTCAATAAAAATATCTGGGAAAAAAAACTGAAGTCATGCTCCACCCCTCTGACAGCTGATCAATAGTTTGCAGATAAGTCTCTGAGCCGCTGCTTATTTTCTGATTCATCACTGATTCAGCTTTTTGGTGAAGCCTCGCCCCTTACCGCTTCGTTGCCTTGACAACCCTCTGACTGACAGATGCCATGGATGCGACCGGAAAGGAGCACGTCGTCCCAGCAGGACGGACCCTGCAACACACACAGTCAGTGCAGTACTGCAGTATAAGCACTGTAGTACAAGTACTGCAGTATAAGTACTGTAATACAAGTACTGTAGTACAAGCACTGCAGTATAAGCACTGTAATACAAGTACTGCAGTATAAGTACTGTGGTACAAGCACTGCAGTATAACTACTGTAATACAAGTACTGTAGTACAAACACTGTACAGGGTGGTCCATTTATATGGATACACCGTAATAACATAGGAATGGTTGGTGATATTAAAGTCCTGTTTGTGGCACATTAGTATATGTGAGGGGGCAAACTCCTCAAGATGGGTGGTGACCATGGTGGCCATTTAGAAGTCGGCCATCTTGGATACAACTTTTGTTTTTTCAATAGGAAGAGGGCCATGTGACACATCAAACTTATTGGTAATGTCACAAGAAAAACAATGGTGTGCTTGGTTTCAACGTAACTTTATTCTTTCATGAGTTATTTACAAGTTTCTGACCACTTATAAAATGTGTTCAATGTGCTGCCCATTGTGTTGGATTGTCAATGCAACCCTCTTCTCCCACTCTTTACACACTGATAGCAACACCGCAGGAGAAATGCCAGCACAGGCATCCAGTATCCGTAGTTTCAGGTGCTGCACATCTCGTATCTTCACACCATAGACAATTGCCTTCAGATGACCCCAAAGATAAAAGTCTAAGGGGGTCAGATCGGGAGACCTTGGGGGCCATTCAACTGGCCCATGACGACCAATCCACTTTCCAGGAAACTGTTCATCTAGGAATGCTCGGACCTGGCACCCATAATGTGGTGGTGCACCATCCTGCTGGAAAAACTCAGGGAACGTGTCAGCTTCAGTGCATAAAGAGTTTGCCCCCTCACATATACTAATGTGCCACAAACAGGACTTTAATATCACCAACCATTCCCATGTTGTTACGGTGTATCCATATAAATGGACCACCCTGTAGTACAAGTACTGTAGTACAAGCACTGTAGTACAAGTACTGCAGTATAAGCACTGTAGTACAAGCACTGCAGTACAAGTACTGCAGCATAAGCACTGTAGTACAAGTACTGCAGCATAAGCACTGTAGTACAAGTACTGCAGTATAAGCACTGTAGTACAAGTACTGCAGTATAAGCACTGTAATAAAAGTATAGTTTAAGCAGAAACGTCTCTCACCCTGCTGAGCGTCAGCGCCGTCTGTTTGCAGCGTCGGCAGCGCGCTCGCAGTTTTCCTGGCTCGATGGAGCGGCAGCTCTTACAGAACACGAAGAAGGTACTGCAGGTACGCACACCTTTACACACAGTACACAGTCAGAGTAGTACGGTGCTGCCAAGCATGATTAGGGTTATAAATACAATTTCAGGGTATTTGGTGGTACTCGTCTTTTCCAGGCAGCAGAAAGAATGTAATGTGCTACTGCAACCAGAAGGTGGCGCTCAAGTGCTCAGGGACATTTCTATACAAACGTTTTACTTTATCATCGTACATAAGAAACAAGAAGCACTGGAACTCACAGCTCCAGCAAGGTACTGAGTAATACTACTCTGAAGGGAGTATTACAGCACTTCATGTGTTTCACAACAACAACAACAACAACAACAACAACAACAATCTTTATTTATAGAGCACATTTAAAAGCCAAGGGCATGCCAAAGTGCTTTACATAAAAGAATAAAAGAATAAAACAATTAACACTATAATATCAGAGTCATATAAGTGTGGAATTATGTTCACAGGTAAAAACCACTAATAAGAGTAAACTATAGCACATAGCTATAGCAAAGTAACGCTGTACCATCAAACACAGTGATAGAGAGCATAGACAACGCAAGACAACAAACAGAAAAATTAATAGAATAACTCACTGCAAACAAGGCCAGTATTTAACTGGTAGAAAAAGCAAGTTCAAACAAATATGTTTTAAGCCGTGATTTAAAAGATTGAATAGAATCAGACGCCCGGATGCCAATTGGGAGATTATTCCACAGCTCAGGTGCAGCTAGAGCAAACGCTCGATCACCTCTAGACTTCAAACGAGATCTGGGCTGAACCAACAATAACTGTGAGGATGATCTTAAAGCCCTCGCAGGAGCATATGAGTTTAAGAGTTCCTTAAGATAGCTTGGTCCTGTGTTATTAGTAATTTTAAAAGTAAGCAACAGAATTTTAAATTGAATACGAAATTTCACAGGCAACCAGTGCAGATCAGCAAGGACGGGAGTGATGTGAGCAAACTTCTTAGTTTTAGTTAGAATGCGTGCAGCGGCATTCTGGACTGTCTGTAATCTATGTAGAAGGGTAGAGTGGAGACCAAAATAAAGTGAATTACAATAATCTAGCCTTGACGTTACAAAGGCATGGATGAGCTTTTCCAGATCATTGTGCGGGATATAGTGTTTGGCCTTAGAAATAAGGCGAAGTTGGTAAAAGCTGGATCTGACGACAGCAGACACTTGTTTATCAAGTTTAAATGAGCTGTCAAGTAGCACACCCAGATTCCTAACAGTGTCAGAAAAGGAGCTAGTGAGAAAACCAAAGATCATAATTTCAGTTTTCTTATCATTAAGGATAAGAGTATTTGCCAGAAGCCATTGCTTGACCTCACACATGCACTCTCGAAAGTTACTCACCGACATAGCTAGATCATCATTTAACTCAAAATAGATCTGGATGTCGTCAGCATAATAATGAAAAGCAATGTGGTATTTCTCAAAGATAGCACTTAAAGGAAGCATATATAATGAGAACAGGGTAGGGCCTAACACAGATCCCTGAGGGACACCACAGCAAACAGGTACAGCGGAAGAAGACGAGGTGGCCAAGTGAACCGAAGAGAGCCGATTGGAGAGGTAAGATTTAAACCAATCCTTTCATGTATAAAAACGTGTTTCAGCTCATTTTTAATTCTTTCATCAGAAATATATCAGACTCCTCCCTCACACCTCCATCTCAGGTGTGTGATGGATCACTGATCAGAGACAGGTGATGCATTCAGGTGCCCTCGTAAACTCGGGACTCAAACAGGATGTACTGTCAGCTGAGGCAACAGTTAAAATAAAATTTAAATTGAATAAAAATCGGTTATAAAATAAATAAATAAGTCTTTCTGAGAGTCCAGTGTGCTGTTTGTTTCATTAGAAAAAACATTACATTTCAGGAATTTCAGCAGCAGCAAGGGACGGGGCATCGAGGCACCTGTAACCATGACATACTCACTGCTGTGAGCTCCAGCCTGCACCTCCTTCAGACTCTCCCCCTCTGCTCTGCCCTCTCCTCCCTCACTGTTGGCAGGGAGTCGAGAAGAGCTGAGGTCCAGCCTGGTCAAAGAGCCCTGCTCCTGCTCCTCCTCTCCGTCCTCAGCTCGGTGCTCCTGCACGAGCCGCTGAAAGGAGGCGCCTGAAGGAGGGAGGACGACGTGGACGGTGCTCTGCTCTGGGAGGTCGCAGCCCTGAGTGACAGGAGGAGGAAGAGGAGGTTTTTTTTTTTTTAAATTAATAATTAAAACAATGCAAATACAAACTGTCGTAGAGGATAAAACTGTAGAACAATATTCAAAGACAACAAAAACAACAAAAGACTGGAGGCAAAAATCAAAACAGTAACAGATGAGAAACGTCATCATAGATTTTAACAGATCTGCTGGATTTCAGTTTCTTCAGTGACGTGAATAATGACCCACGTGGAGGACGGTGTAGTATTTCTCCACTGGCTAAAATGTAGATGGTATTTACCTAAGCGGATGATACTGTTAATCACAGTAGAGACAGATGGATGTAAATGATCCATATAATAATAATAATAATAATAATAATAATAATAATAATAATAATACATTTTATTTATAGGCACCTTTCAGACGCTCAAGGTCACCTTACAAAAACACGTGAGCAATAGCAGCAAAAAATATATTAAACATGGTAAAATCAAATTTAGTCAGTCATTCAGTCATAAAAGTATAAAAGCAATTATAAAAACTGAGCAAGGTAAAAATGGACTAAGACAGATCAGCTGTATGCAATGCTGAATAGATGAGTTTTGAGACATGATTTAAAAGTGGTGAGAGCGTTTGGCTCATTAGTGACAGGCTCTGAGTCCAATGGTAGTCAGGCGAGCAGGTGGAACAGACAGAAGGGAAGAAGAGCGGAGTGTACGATGGAGTGAGTACGTATGAAGATCAGATAAATATGGAGGAGCGAGGTTATGAAGCGCTTTGAAAGTGAGAAGAAGGATCTTGAAATTGACATGGTGGTGAACTGGAAGCCAATGGAGCTGTTTAAGAACAGGTGTTATATGTTCAGTGGATCTAATTCTGGAAATAATACGAGCAGCTGTATTTTGAACTAACTGCAATTTATGGAGAGATTTATGAGGTAGACCACAAAGAAAGGGATTCACAGTAAGCTAAACGAGATGTGACAAGAGCATCGACAAGTATGGCGGTACTGTTTGAAGTGAGTGAAGGACGAAGGCGGTTAATATTACAGAGATGAAAATATAATTTATATGTGCTGCGAAGGACAGAGCGCTGTCGATGATGACACCAAGACTCTTAACCTGAGGGGAGGGTGTGACAACAGTCATTGATGGATAACGAAAGACTGGTTGGGACTTTGGTCAGTTTTGATTTGGTGCCTATTAAAATGAATTCTGTTTTATTAAATTTAAGAAAGTTGTGAGTAAACCAGACCTTGATTTCACTTAAACAGTCAGAAATGGATGTGGGTGGGAGAGTAGCTGTGGGTTTGGAGCTGGGTGTCATCTGCGCAGCAGTGAAACTGGAAGTTAGGCTTCCTGATAATATTACCTAGGGGTAGGAGATAGATGATAAAAAGTAAAGGACCCAGGACAGAGCCTTGGGGTACACCAGAATTAACTGGAGTAGATACTGATCTGTGAGAGAGTAATTGAACAAACTGTGAGCAGCCAGAGTAAACCAGGCGAGTGCTGTACCACTGATGCCAATAGATGCTAATCTGTGAAGAAGGATGTGGTGGGAGATTGTGGCAAAAGCTGCTGTAAGCTCAAGAAGAATGAGGATGGAGATGAGTCCAGAGTCAGCTGCAAGCAGAAGATCATTGGTGATTTTTACTAGAGATGTTTCTGTACTGTGACATGAACGGAAGCCGGACTGAAACTGTTCGTACAGGTTATTTCCAGCTAGATGACGATGAACCTGTGCAGCCACTATCTTTTCCAGAACGTTGGCTAAGAAAGGCAGATTTGAAATTGGCCTGAAATTATTTAGATTGGAGGGATCTGAACCATTCTTTTCAGTACTGGAGTTATTATTGCATAGAAGGTAATCTATATTCTGCTCTTGCTCTTGACGAAGGCGGTCGCACTTTTCTCCTCTCCTCCTCCTCTCCCTTAGCTTCCCTGCTTAGCCTCTTGTGTCCTTGTCTAGTCTCGTGTTTTTTGTATTACTTTCCCTGGAACATTCTCTCACAGTCTGTTCTCTAAAACCTAAAAGAGGAATAAAGGCCACCTGGGTTGGCAGGAAGACTGTTTACTTAGCCTGGCAGGGCGAAGGACACTGTCCCAGCTGAACTCTGGACACACACACACATACATATACACTGATATGCACACACTCATCGCCCTTCCCTTTCCAAACGCCTTCAACACTTATTCCCTCCCTGTTGGAGCTCAGTCTGGGAGGAGTTATTTTCACTGATTTGAGTGACAACCAGCTGATACAGGACATGAGAAAAACAGATGGTGTAATGTTTCACAGGCTGAATCACTAAAAGAACACGGGTCCAAATGTAAACCTCCTTTTTAGAAATTCAGATACGGGGTATTTATTATTAATGACCTTAAAATGGGTTTCTTTAACTTTTGGAGGAACAGGCTACTTAACAAATTCAGAAAACACCTTTTCCACGAGTGACTGATCCCCGTGAAAGGCCTGCACACGTCTACCCGAGTCAAACTCATGGAAAAGAATCGATTTGAAGTTCACTCTAATAAACTTATTGTACTATCATTTCAATTAAAGTTTCCAATTTTGAAGCTTGGCAGCGCTGGTTTGATGTTAGAATGTAACAATGTGTTGCGTAATAGCTGAGCTAATGGGATAGCATGACAAACCTTTCTGGTATCTTTTAGTGGGCAGTCTAAATTGTGTCTCTTCAGAAAAGATACATAATCCAGTAAAGCACCATTAGAGTCCAACAAGTCAGTTACAAACAAGATGCCGCTCTCAAACCAGTTTCTGGTAAATAATGGCTTTCTACACAGCAAAATCTCCAGTGTTAAATTAACACTGGAGAG